GGTGCTTAGACTACATGGGGAGCAGTGGCAAGATAGTTTGGGACTTGGTGTCATCCTTTTTCCATATGGGGTACCACTTATACGTGGCCAATTTTTATTCAAGACACTATTTAGACATTTGTACAATCTTGGAATTGGTGCATGTGGCACTGTGCGACTTAATGTGTGCCCGCCATTAGAAGTGGGTGGATGCAGGGCGGTATATTCTAATGGTGGGCATACCACACACTTTTTCTGGCAGAGATTTCTTCTTTTTTATTCATTCAGTCCACAGGCTGCATAGAAATAAAACCAGCATATATACTCTTCAAGGACCAGCGACGTACTGGTACATCACTGGACTTTAAATAGTTATACCAGGATGATGCCTACAGCTGCAGGCATCATCCTGGTATCATTTTTTTTATTAAGCCGGCGATTTGGCTTTCACATAAAAGCAATCCTAGTGACTAATTCGCTGCAGGATTGATTTTAAAAGCAGCGGGAGAAGATGACCCCCCCCCGCTGCCTTCCACAGCCTTCTTGGGCAGTCCCGTGCCATTGGGGGAACCTGAGAATGCAGCCAGTGTTTCGGCCAGTTGACCATAGAGCTGATTGGAGACCGGAATGGTACCAATCATCTCTGTAGTCTGATCTGAAGCTACGATCATTTCATCACTTCAGTTTCACAGGGTATAGACAGCGCCATTTGTAAATTGGGAAAGCATCTGATCACACCGATCTTGGTAAGATTAGATAATGTAAGGGCAGAGGAGATAACTAGAGTCCCCCTGGCGCATGCACACCTGCGTGCGCTAGCGTTAACCCTGTGGCGGTATGTAAACAGCAGTTGCACCATGCATGTGAGGTATCGCCGTGAACGTCAGATCAAGGGCAGTAATTCTAGGTCTACAACTCCTCTGTAAATCTAACCTGGTAGCTTGTAAAAGCTTTTAAATCCTTGCCTATGGATATTAAAAAAGTATGCAGTTTGTCGTCATTGCATGGGAAATGCGCAGTTTTAAAGCAGGTCATGTTTGGTATCTAGTTTCTCGGCATACCATCATCTTTTATATTTTACCAAATAATTGGCCAATATATTGTGTGTTTTTTTGTGCATTAAAAGTAAAAAGTGTATTTTTTTTTTTTTTTTTTAAATTTGAAAAATCGCTGTGCGAGTACTAGGTGACATAAAAAATTGCAGCACCCACCATTTTATTTACTAGGGTGTCTGCTTTAAAAAATATATAATGTTTGGGGGTTCAAAGTAATTTCCTAGCAAAAAATACTGATTTTCATGTGAACAAAAACTGTCAGAAAAGGCTTGATATTCAGGTGGTTAGAAGAGTGAGTGATGTGTGGCATAAACTTCTAATGCTGGGCATAAAATGCCCCCCCCCACCCCCCAAAATTAACCCTTTTTGGAAAGTAGACACCCCAAACTATTTGCTGAGAGGCATGTTGAGTCAATAAAAGAATTTATTTTTATACTACAAGTTTTTGGAATACGACAAAAAAAAAAATATTTTTTTGTTTTTTTTTACACATAATTGTCACTTAAATTATTTATTGCTCACACATACCATGAGTATATGTGGAATTACTCCCCAAAATACAATCTGCTACTTCTCCTGAGTATGGGGGTACCACATGTGAGACTTTTTGGCAGTCTAGCCAAGTACAGGAGCCCAAAATCCTATAAGCACCGTCAGGCTTTTAAGGGGCTTTATTTCCTCATTACACTTCCTGACTACCTGTCACAGTTTCACTGACCCCTTTATGGAAAGTAGACATCCAAAGGAATTTGATAAGAAGCATGAGTATTTTGCAGATCTCGTTTGTTGCCACAAGTTTTTGCAAAACAAAGAAAGAAAACAAAAACATATATATTTTTTCTTTTCTATTTTTATATTTCAAAACCTTGTGAGAAAAAATGAGATCTGCAAAATACTCATCATACCTCTTCTTCTTTTTTTGTTTTTTTAAATTTCCTTGGGGTGTCTACTTTCCAAAAAGGAGTCATTTAGGGGGGGTTGGTACTATCCTGGCATTTCAGGGCCTCAGAAACTGTGATGGGTAGTAAGAAAGTGAAATGAAGTTTATGCACCTTCAGGCTTTCAATGTGGTCATTGGATTTCAGGCTCTTATGTGGCTAGGCTCCCAAAAAGTCTCACACGTGGTATCCCCATACTCGGTAGAAGTAGCAGAATGTATTTTGGGGGTGTGATTCCACATATACCCATGACTTGTGTGAGGAATATATAATTTAAATGACAAACTTTTTTTTTTTTTTTACACAAAGTTGACATTTTCCAAAAACTTGTGAAAAAAAAAATCTTCCGTGGACTCAATATACCTCTCAGCAGATAGCTTAGGGTGTCTACTTTCCGAAAAGGGGTCATTTGGGGGCGTTTGTACTATCCTGGTATTTTAACACCTCAAGAAATGTGGTAGGCAGTCAGAAAGTAAACATGGGAGGAATAGTGCCCCATCATTGGTGTCAGTGGGAAGAAACGTGCCCCATCATTGGTGTCAGTGGGAAGAAACGTGCCCCATCATTGGTGTCAGTGGGAAGAAACGTGCCCCATCATTGGTGTCAGTGGGAAGAAACGTGCCCCCATCATTGGTGTCAGTGGGAAGAAACGTGCCCCATCATTGGTGTCAGTGGGAAAAGCCCCATCATTGGTGTCAGTGGGATGAAAACGTGCCCCATCATTGGTGTCAGTGGGAAGAAACGTGCCCCATCATTGGTGTCAGTGGGAAGAAACGTGCCCCATCATTGGTGTCAGTGGGAAGTCAGTCGTGCCCCATCATTGGTGTCAGTGGAAAGAACGTGCCCCATCATTGGTGTCAGTGGGGGGAGGAATAGTGCCCCATCATTGGTGTCAGTGGGGGGGAGGAATAGTGCCCCATCATTGGTGTCAGTGGGGGGGAGGAATAGTGCCCCATTGTTGGTGTCAGTGTGTGTGGGGGGGGGGGGGGGGAAATGGTGCCCCGTCATTGGTGTCAGTGGGGGAAGGGGATAGTGTCCCAATATTGGTGTCAGTGGGAAGACATAGTGCCCCATCTTTGGTGTCCGTGGGAAGAATAGTGCCCCATCTTTGGTGTCCGTGGGAGGAATAGTACGTCATTGGTGTCAGTGGGAGGAATAGTACGTCATTGGTGGGGGGGGGAATAGTCCCCCGTAATTGGTGTCAGTGGGAGGAATAGTACTCCATCATTGGTGTCAGTGGGGGGAGGAATAGTGCCCCATCATTAGTATCAGTGACACCAATGATGGGGCACTATTCCTCCCACTGACACCAATGACACTTAACTTGCTGACCCCTGTTCCAGCATGGTGCTGCTGCTGCAGTCGGCAGCATACCTGGATGGAGCAGCACCATCTGCACGGCACACTTACCTGTCAGCTGTCCTTCACTCCGGCCTCTCCCTCACTCGATGTTCGTGGGGCCGCTTGGCTCTGCCTCCTCGCAGGTGATTGGCCGCCTGTATGCCTTTCTGAGCTACAGTTCTGGCGCCCAATCACCAGTGAGGAGGCGGAGTCGAGCGGCAGCGCGAACATCGAGTGAGGGAGTGGCCAGAGTGAATGAAGGAGCAGCGCTTCCTGGACTGGATCGTCGTGAGACTGGGACACAGAGCCAGGTAAGATACAGCAGCCCCCTGCCCGCCCCTGTACTTAGTGTCCCTTCCTCGCGGCAAATATGCCCCTGCAGGCGGGCCGGATAAATGTCCTCGGTGGGCCGTAGTTTGAGGACCCCTGATTTATACCATAATTTTTCACAAAAAGCAATCAATATACAGTTACTGGAATTTTTTGTAACCAAAAACATGTAACAGAATATATTTCGGCCTAAATTTATGACGAAATGTGAGGTTTGTTTTATATTTTTTATGACCGAAATGAGAAAATATATAGTGTGGTGTGTTTTTTTTTTTTTTTTTTTTTTTTTTTTTTGCTTTGTTTTATAGCTCCAAAAATAAAACACACACAGGTGATCAAATACCACCAAAGGAAAGCTCTATTTGTGTGGAAAAAAAAGTAGGACGTAAATTTATTTACGTACCATATTACATGACCGCATAGCCCTGAATAGCAAAAAAGAGGCCTGGTTATGGTCATTAAGGGGGGTGAATCCTCAGAATGGAAAGTGGTTTAAGTGACTTTTGTGTAAAATAAATTAAATAAAATTACATTTTCCAAAAATTTGTAGCAAAACAATAAAAACTTCCATGACTCAACATGCCTCTCAGCAAATTCCTTGGGGTGTCTACGTTCCAAAAAGGGGTCGTTTGGGGAAGGGGGGGGTTGTAGTGCCCTGGCATTTGTGCACCTCGAGATGTGATAGGCAGTTTGAAAGTAAAAGCTGTGTAAATTCCAATGTATATTTACCATAGTTTGTAAACACTATAACACAAATTGATATACATGTATTTAGGAATTTTTTATACCAAAGACATGTAGCAGAATACATTCTGGCCTACATTTGTTACTAACTTTGAGTTTACTGGATATTTTTTATAACCGAAAGGGTAAAAATATTTTTTTATTTTTTTTTCAAAATTTTTGGTCTTTTTTTTGTTTTATATCACAAAAAAAATATAAAAACCTAGTGGTGATCAAATACCACCAAAAGAAAGCTCTATTTGTGTGAAAAAAAAAAAATATAAATTTTGTTTGGTTATATTGTTGCATAACCGTGCAATTACCAGTTGAAATGGCACGGTACCGAATAGCAGTAAATGCCCTGGTCATTAAGGGGGGTAAATCTACCGGAGGGCAAGTGGTTAATTGTGTATACATGTATGCAAATTGGTTCCTTTATGTAGATACTAACGTATTATTCCTGGACACTTCATATCCATATACATGTATATGGAAGTTGGAATTATTCCTCCTTTTTTCTTCACTTGGTTGACTTTATTTTGCATGTTTGTGTTTTAGGAATACATATGTACTGTATGCAGTAAAAAATGTAAGCTATTGCACGATTACTAACTATTCTGCTTCGCTGTTGTAGGTAATTGGGCTGCTGGATGTGTTCACACCCGACTTGACGCTGGAGAAATTCAATGACTTGTAAGTTGTCACAATTTGTGGTAGATTGTTCATTGCAGTGCACTGTAATTTACACGCAATTACTGCCATACATTTTATTTTTAGATCCGGCTATCATTAGTGCAGGTTTTCTAGCAGTGTGGTGTGGTGTTCCTAGATGTTTCCTCAATTTTTAACGATGATGTAATGTATGGAACTATGTCAGCTCCTCTTTTTTACTTGACTATTAACTGTGAAATAGCCTTTGCAGTCCTTTCTAGCTACATACCGAACATATTTTCAGTTAGGCCTTTCAGTGATCCTCCTTTTTAGAAGCAAGTTACAACATGGTGTAAGATGTACTGAGACATGTGAGACTTGTAAATGACCCCACCTTGATCAGCTTGCTTCCATTACACATTTTGTATGTATTTTGTAATTTGGCTCTTTTTTGTTGAGTGTGCTCTACATCACAGAGGTAATAGCAAGGCTTATTAGTATAGTGTGAAGAGGCATGGTGCTAATTAACCTACGCAACCCACAAGTCTGTTTTTATTTCAAAGACTTCTAAAAGATTGTTTTCTTGGTAAGGGTTGCCACAGGTAATTTTGTCCTCTGTGAGTAGAAAAGCCAGTTACTCCATAAAATGTAGGAAACAATAGGATCGGTGCTGCCTTATCGTGTTTCTTACATTCTCCTGCCTTCCCTGTCTGCTACAGGCCACCAGCTATACCTGCTATGTAATGATTCCAACATTATGATCAGATGTATTAGTGAACTGCCGCTGTCCCTGTCTGTCACGTACCTGGGGCAGTACTGAATGACAAGTGCCGGCAGATGTTTGATAGCAGAACTTGCAGCAGGAGATGCAGGTGAGGGGCAGTAGGATCACCAGTGACACCAGGCAGAACTAGGAGCAGATGTGATGCAGGCTTGAGAAGTCAGGCAGGACACCAGGCCAGGAGCAGATGTGATGCAGGCTTGAGAAGTCAGGCAGGACACCAGGCCAGGAGCAGATGTGATGCAGGCTTGAGAAGTCAGGCAGGACACCAGGCCAGGAGCAGATGTGATGCATGCTGAAACAGCCAAGGCTAAAGGGGCATTCCGCATGTACTGCAGGTTTTGGAACAGTGGTTTTTGAAGCTCTCAGCAAGCTTTAGGCAGGAATACTGTGATGACTCGAGCTGTTACAAAGGAAGGACAAAGCAGACATTCCGAAGTAGTATGAAGCCAAGTCAGAAGCAGGAGCAAGGTCTGAGGTAGCTGGGGTTAGAAGCAGGTGGACAATGAGGTGCAGAAGCGTGGTCCGAAACGAAGCTGGGGTCAGGAACAGGTGATCAGAGGTACAGGCAAAATCCAAGATCAGGTCCGTAACGAGCAGGGTCATCAACAAAAATCAGATACAGGATACACGCAGGCCACAGGAAAAGCTACGCATCCCTTAAATAGCCTGTTTGGCGCCAGAAGCTGTGGTTACTCTCCCACGTGCATGCTCGTGTTTCTGTGCACATGCGCAAGACTATGCTCTTTTTCTATTTGCGATGTGCCTTTGCTCATTTCTATGACGATGCTATGCGCATGTGCATATCTACAGTATGTGCCTGTTGCTATACTGGAATTCCCTTACACTGTCTTTTAAAACAGCAAGTTAAAATACCGTATTCAAACCCCCTTCACTTTTTTCAAGTTATTAAGTGAAATTTCAGTTTTTTTCTTTAAGTACTTAAGTGTTCAAACCCTTTACGAAGTACTTTGTTGAAGTACCTTTGGCAGCAATTACAGGCCCGATTTTTTTGTGGATATGACGCGATAAGCTTTGTACACCTGTATTGGTGGTTTTTCTGCCATTCTTCTTTGCAAATCCTCTCAGGCTCAGTCAGGTTGGATGGGGACTGTCAGTGGACAGGCAATTTCAGGTCTCTCCAGAGATGTTCAAGTCAGAGCTCTGACTGGGCCACTCTAGGACTTTTACAGAGTTGTCCCTAAGCCACTCCTATATTGTCTTGACTGTGTGGATCGTTGTCATTTTGGAAGTTTAAACCTTCGGCCCAATCTGAGGTCCTGAGCGCAGTGGCACATGTTTTCATTGAGGATATCTGTGTACTTTGCTCCATTTGGGTTTCCCTCAACCATAACCAGTCTCCCAGTTCCTGCTGCTGAAAAACACCCCCCCCCAGCATGATGCTGCTAACACCATGCTTCACTGATATTGGTCAGGTGGTGAGCGGTGCCTTCTTTCCTCTAGACATAATGTTTAGAATTGAGGCGCAACTGTTCAATCTTCATTCCATCAGACCAGAGAATCCTTGTTCCTCGGTCTGAGCATCCTTCAGGTGCTTTTTGGCAAACTCCAAGTGGACTTTCATGTGTTTTGCAATGAGAGAGGCTTCCATCTAGCCACACTGCAATAAAGCTTAGGCCAGTGGAGGGCTGCAGTGAAGGTTGTCCCTCTGGAACTTTGTCCCATCTTCACCTAGGATCTCTATTTGTTGGCAGGAAGGTTGGAGAGAAGCCTGTCCAGGGTAACTTTTTTGCAAAATGTCCTATTTACCAAAGGCACACTTTTTTATAGCTAGGATATTTTGTAGTGAAAGTGATTTTCTTTATTAAAGATATATTTTATATTCTTTCATACTCCGTAGCGGAGTGCACAACACTTATGCTGTGCGCGTCTTTAATGTCTTCTGTCCTGCTGAATCCTCTTGCAAACATCAGAGCTTATACAACTGTTTAAATGTGTTTTATGCCAGTTATTAAACTCGGTGACATCTAAAGATAACACAGAAGTGTCCTGACATCCCTTTAAGGGTCCCTTTTTAAGGTAGTATTACACACTGCTTTCTTTTTTTAAATTTTTTTTAATCCACTGCCTGGAGGGAAATGTTCCATGGTAGATGATTGTTTGCCCATTACATACATAAAAATGATCACTGACACTGCTTCCTTAATCTCCTGGGTAGGGAAGCGCGTGAACTGAGCACGTCACAGGGTACTAGTCTCTTGGACAGTCCGGGCTCATGCTGCTGTCAATCAGGCTGCTGAAGGAGGGATGAGCAGGGGAATGACTTGCCACTGTGGCTGTTCTCTGACTGTGGACACACGCAGCATAGGGACACTCGGCCGCAGTCCCATCTGGGAGTACACATGCAGAGGGTGGCTCCATAGAGACTCTGCAAAGGGATGGAACCACCCTAAAGCAGGAACTAAGGTAAAGTTTTCTTTCAAAGATGTGATGCAAAACAACTGCAGGCTTCAGTTGAACAATACACAGCAGCCTAGTTAGTTCTTGGGTCTGCAACACTATAATATTTTTTTTTCATTTTAGGGTTTAATAACACTTTAAAGCTTTTTAGTCTGCTTATATTTTTTTTTTTCCCCTAGTTTTTCCCTCCCCAGCCCCCCACCCCTAACCCCGCCTCTCAAGAGCCCTGATGCATTACTAATATATTAAAGGGATGCAAGGCTCAGATTTTTTGTTTGAAAAATAACAAACAGGTCATACTTGCCTGCTCTGTGTACAATGGTTTTGCACAGAGCAGCCCCAGTCTTCCTTTTCTCAGTACCTGTGCTCCTGGCTCCTCTCCTCTGCTGAGTGCCCCCAGCTGCTTGCTCTGAGGACACTTGCGCGTGCTCACTCCTGAGCCGCCTCTGTCTGTAAGACACACAGAGCATGGCTCAGCCCTGTCCCCTGCTTCCTCCTTACTGCCAGTGATTGGCAGCAGTAGGAGCCAATGGCTTCTGCTGCTGCTGTCTCAGCCAATGAGGAAGGAGAGACCCAGGAGAGCTGATACTAATGGATCAATGGATTGAGATCAGTCTCGGCTAAGGATTAGGGGGGCTGAGCTGCACACTGAAAAGTTTTTTTTTTTTTTGTTTGTTTGTTTTTGTTTTTTACCTTTTTATGCATGTATAGCCTTTAGAACCACTTTAATAGTAAAAAGGTCAAGTCTGAGCATGTATGCCCTTTGCAAGATAATTTTGAGATGGCTCAAAACTGATATGGTTCAGAAACATGTAGACAAAATAAGTGAATGCACCTGGACCAGATGGCTTACTCCCATGTTTCCTCAAAGGGTTGTTCTCTGTTGTTGCAAAACCATTGGTTCTAATTTTTTTAGAGACTCTTTAATGACTGGTATAGTACCACTGGATTGTGGTAGCGTTTGTGGTGCCGATATTTAAAAAGGGATCACTCTTTACCAAGTAGCTAAAGAGCTTTTATAGGTACACTTCTATAGTCGAAAAAATACTTGAGAGTTTAATAAAAGACCACCTAGAAGAGTTTTAGCTGGAAAACAATATTTAAAGCGATGGTCATAAGGAATTCACGAAAGATCAAAGTTGGCAAATTTGATTTCTTTTTATGAGGAAGTAAGCAACAACTTAAAGGAGTGACTGTGGTTATAGCATACTTTTAGGATTTTGCAAAAGCATTGGTTAGAGTTCCCACACACAGCTATTGTATGTTTTAGAGCCTACAGGCCTAAAGTGGTTTGTAAACTTCAGACGTGGAATATGAGCAAAGAATGTTCTTCTGTAGGGTGTACTTGTCTCTATCCAGAGCATGAAGTATCATTTTTGTCTGCTGCCTCATTCCCCTGCCATAAGCCTGAGTAACTTCTGATGAGTTTTCCTGACACCAAGGGAAAAATGGCGATGGGGAATGGCACAGCCTGTGACTGACAGCCTCAGCTCTGAAGCTGTGTGATGGGGGTGTGTCCCTTCCCTCCAATCAGCTCTCAAAGCTCTCCCTGAGTGTAACTTCTGCTCCCTGCTCCCTGCCCCCTGCTTTTCTGAGCTGAGAGCTCCTGCATAAATTCTGCACTTTGAATAGATGTAGGGAATAGACAGCTGTAGATAAATAGGTACAACTTATGCAGGAGGATTTGTTTCATCTCTGTGTATCGCATGAGGATAATAATTTCACTGGGTATATATATTGGCCTACTACCAAGGTATACAACATCGAAATTTGATTGGTTCAGCAGGAACCAACTGAGTTTTGAGGTGTGTACTCCCCTCTCTGTTCAACAGATGCTGGT